AATCTTTCCCCCCAGCAGCAGAAAGGGGGTTTATTTTTATGATATAGATAAATCTGTTTTATAGAACTTCAGCTGTAACAGAGAGGCCACAAGAAAGACACAGGCACAAACACTCAGGGTATGTATCTTCCTTATAATTCTCACCCTGTGCTTCCTTGGCTCACAAACTGCCAAAATGAAAATAAATATAAAATAAAATAGTAAACCATTTGTTTCTGCCCTGGAGGGTCCCACATGGAATTCCTGCCCAAAATCGATCCACACTGGTCTCGGCTGGTTTTCCCTCCCCACCTGGGAAGGGGCAGCTCAGTTAACTGGGATGCACATTGAGGTCCCAGTCAGCAGTACTGGGAAAGGGCCTGAGGTCCCTGTGCACACTGAGGCAGCTTCTCTGAGAGCAGGGACCCCAAATTTGCCCATCCTGGTGGGTCCAAGCCCCAGGTGAATCCCTCCAACCCTGCTGAGGACCTAAACCCTCACCACAGCCTCCCTGGCTGACTGAGGGATTCCCCAGACTGACCTCATCCCCCCAAAGCTCCTGACTCCTCTGGCCAGGGTCAGTGCTCTTGTTCCCCTGGGGGATGCTCCAGACCCCCAGGGGTGCTGCCAGGGTGCTCCTGGCACCCCCAGGCAATGCTTCCAGCCCCTCCAGGATACTCCTGGTGCTCCAAGGAGATGATTTTCCCCACCAAGTGGATGTTTCAGCCCTCCACAGTGCTCCCAGTCCCCCACAGGTGCTCCTGGCACCCAAAGAGGATTCTCTCCTCCCCAAAGGGGATGTTCTGGCCCCCCAGGAGGATGCTCTGGCCTGTTTTGGATGTTTCAGCCCCGCAGAGGTGCTCCTGGCCCCCCAGGACTCTGTCCCAGCCCGCGGTGTGTGGTGCCTCGCGTGCTGTCCAGGCGTTGTCGCGCAGGGCTGTGGCAGCCCGTGAGCCTCCCTTGGCCGTCCCAGCCTCCAGGCATCGCTCAGGCATAGGATGACAAAGGGAAGCTCACAGGGGGCAGGGGGCAGCGGCCCCACACTCCTCCAGGAGCTCCTGCGGAGGGAGGAGAGATGTGACGGGAGGGCAGGGCAGGAGCCAGATGAGCCTGGGGGAGCCCAGGGAAGTGGGGGGCTCCAGGGAGCTGGGGGAGCCCAGGAAGCTTGGAGAGCCCAAGGGAGTGCAGGGCAGGATCCCAGGGAGCTGGGGGAGCCTGGAGGAGCCCAGGGAAGTGGGGGGATCCCAGGGAATTGGGGAACCGGGGGAGCCCAGGGAGCTACATGATCCCAGGGAGCTGGGGGAACCAGCCCATGGCTCTCCCTAGTGCGACCTGCCAGCCTTAGGGATGCCCCAGCTCCTGGGGACAGTTTGGGACAGGGAGGGGGTAAGGGTGCCAGAGGGGCCACGTGTGTCCGTGGCTGCGGGTGACTGTGGGGGACTGTGGCGCTCCGAGCGTGCAAGCCTGAGGGCTGAGGAGCTGTGTGAGGGTGTGTGGACACTGTGTGTGTGCACATCTCTGCAGGTCACTGTGTGCTCAGCTCTGTGTGCGCACGCAGATGTGTGAGCTGGATAAATCCATCCCACAGTTGCCCTCCCAGGCCCACACTCCCTTCCCAGGACCCAACCCAGCTCAGGGGACCTCGGGGACTGCCACCCCACGCAGCAGCATTGCATGGGCAGGTGGCCCCCCAGGGCTGGTGGGTGCCCCCCAGGGCTGGTGGGTTCTCTTGGGGTAGTGGGTTCCCCCTGCACCCCCTCCCCGACACGATGTCCCACTCGCTGTCTCTCACCAGGGAGATGCCTCCGGTGTTGGGTGCAGCTGAGGGCATGTCAGGGTATCACAGCTCTGTGCTGCTCGAGATGAGGGGACACACAGGCTCTGCTCCCCCAGATCTGCTGCCATCCCTGTCCCCACTGTCCCCAGGCTGCTTCACTCACCAGGCAGGGCAGAGCTGGGGGCTGCTGCTGGCACATCCTCCTCTCTCCTTGGCCTTTCCCAACCCCTTCCCTCCATCTTCTCCAGCACAGTGCTGTGCCCCTCACCTTGCATCCCTCCTCTACCACCCTCTCCTCTCCCAGCCCGACCACTGTTGGGATCCTTCCCCTCTGTCCTTTTATACCATCTTTGTTCATATGACAAGCACGTGGAAAATCAGAGCAGAGCTTGGAAAAAAGCTCCTTAAGACGCTTTAATTCAGTTTCCTGGATCCCATGACTGAGCTCGGCCTCTGAACAGGGTCTCATGACTGTGGCACGCAGGCCCTGGCCATCAAAAGCCTCATTTATGCCCCAAAAGAGACTTAAACCCTTCTTGGCTGGTCACCCAGCGAGCCCAGTGTCCCCCAGGCCTGGCCTGGGCCCCTGCACCCTCCTGGCTGGTAGCTTTGAGCTGCCCCAGGGACACACATGCCCTCGAACCTGCTCCGCTGCGGGAGGGACCCTGGGGACACTTGAGGCCTGGCTCTGCCTTTCCCCTCCAGGGGAAGGACACTGCAGTCCTCCTCCAGGCACTAAACCCATCCAACTCAGTCCTCAATCCAGCCCTTTCCTTCCCCCAAACCACAGCAACAGCAGAGGGGACAGAATTGCCATCCCAGTGGCTCATGGCCCAGTTTGGCCCCACGGTGGGGGATGCTGCCCCCAGGGTCTCCAGGGCAGATCTGGTGCCTTTTGGGGACCCTGAAGCTCATGTTGGGGTGAGTGCTCCTCTCCCTCCTTGCTCCAGCTGCTTGTGGCCAAGTGAGGATGGAGCCTGAGCCCTCCTGGGCCAGAAGCAGTGACAGATCTAAACACAAAAGGCCCCAACCCCTGACCACAGCCATGACTCCCCACCATGAAGGCGGCGCCCAGCGATGTCCATCTCCCTGGGATCCCACATTCCCAAGCTGGCTCTAAATTTTGGGGATCAGGCTGAAATTTTCTGTCCTTTTGCCTTTTTTTACTGGGACACAGTAAAACCAACCTCAAGCCACCCTGACATCCCTCCAAAGCCACCCAACTCCAAGCTGTCCCGATGGTGATGCAGAGCTGCCCTGGAGCATCTGCAGCTCAACAGGAAACAGGCAGCAGTAAGAGGATAAAAATACCCTCGGTGCAAACAGAACCTCTCTGTGCTGGGATTAAGGAGCCACGAGCCAGCAGGGCCAGAGGGAGTCAGGCTGGGCTTTGGCTTCCAGCACACCTGTGAGCCCAAGGCTCCAAACCCACCCAGCAGCTGTGTGTGGTGGGATGAGGAAGGAGGGAAGGACTGGGGGCATGCCCAGGGAGAAGCCAGACATCTCAGCTCCTGGTCTCTACATCTCCCTGGAAAAGGAGACACCCCTCTCTCTCAACATCCACATCCTCTTCCAGCTCCTGCAGAGCCCCAGTGCCAAGGAAAGCTCCCGGGTGCTCCGCTGGAGCACGCTGCTGTGGTCCTGGGGGAGGGACGTGTGGGGAGCAGGGGGTCCTGGACCCCCATGGCCACAGCCCCTAACAATAGGTGCATTTGAGTGCTCGGAGTGTAGGGGTGCAGCAAAGCCTCCCCAGCCTGTCCCTGAGCCCCTTGAGCTGCCTAAGGAGATTATCACTCCTCACATGAGCCGGTTGGGCCCCTCGGCCTCGAGCCGGGGAGGACACCAGGGGGACACAGGGAGGGGGGAAGCAGTGCTGAGGAGCCCAGCAAGGGTCCCTGCAGGCACAGGAAGGGGCAGGACTGTGCTCTGCTGTTTGAGTTGGGGCCAGGGATGCCCTGGGGGCAGGAAAACACATGGATACTCCAAACAGCTCTTCCCAGGGAGGGTTCAGAGCAGGCACTGATCAAAAAAAAGCACAAACCTGAGCCTCTGCTCTTCTGTGGGGCAAAGCTCTCATCTGCTGGCAGGAAGACACGATGGGAGACCTCCAAACCTGCTTCCATGGCCAGCACACCCCAGGATTTGCTGAGGTCCCTGAGCAGCCGGGGCACAGCTGGAAATGGAGCAGGTCAAAACTAAAGTTTGATCCCCCCAGGACCACCCTGTGCTCATCAGGATCTCCCTGTGCCCCTTGCCATGCTGGTCCCGGTACCTATCAGATCATGGGGACATTCCCCCAGGACCACCCTGTGCTCATCAGGATCTCCCTGTGTCCCTTGCCATGCTGGTCCTGGTACCTATCAGATCATGGGGACATTCTCCTTCCCCTGGGGCACACCAGAGACCCCTGTGCCACAGGCCATCCTGTCTCCGCGATCCCATGGGATCCTCTAACTACATGGGAGAGGAGCTGGCAGGGAAATGGGTCCCTGTTAGTCCCCACAGCCCGAATGGAAGGGCCAAGGACACCTCCCCTGCACAGCTCACACCTTGGGGCTGCCCAGTGCCCAGAGGAGGGTGATAAACATTTGGGATCCTGCCAAGGGTAATCCAGGGGAGGACAGGGGAGAGATGAGGGGCCAGACCCTCCCAGGGGCTGGGTCATGGTGAGGGAAGCCCAGGGACCCCCAGGGAAAGGGCACACACAGGTGAAACGATAACCCTCTGCTCTTTATTCGGTGCCTGATTCCCTCGCCGTTTCCTGAGCGAGAGGTCCAGAGGAGGTTTTCCAGGGGTGACCTGAACATCAGCAGTGCTTCCTAGGAAGGCTGAGCACGGCCAGACTGGAGGAGGTGTGGGGCAGGGGGTCACCTCCTCCATGCATCCCCATAATCCCTTTGGGGACTCGGCGCTGCACTAGCCGCAGGGTGAACACCGGGCACCACCAGCGCTGGTCCCGGGAAAGCTCCATGGAGAGCGCAAACTGTCACCTCCTCTGTCCCACCCCACAGGGACACCGGGGAGGGGCCAGGCCCCCCAGCCCCTCCCCAACTCGCCTTATTGCTATAGTCAGAGCAGCAGAGCGGCTGGGGGGAACTCGGGAGTTGGCTGTTTCAGGAGAGGGGACGAGGACATGTCCGAAGCCAAGGATTTGCTGTCAGAGGGTGGGCTCATGTCTCTGGGGAAGGGGAAGGAGGCAGCTGCCATCTCTGGCCAGCCAGGCCGGTGGTGCCAGCAGCGCCAAGGCTGACACCGGGAGAGAGGAGAGCTGTGCTCGCGTCCGAGAGCGCTCCGAGGCCTCTGGCCCTCTCCCAAGGCTGAACGGACTCATTGCACCTCCAGCAGCAGGGACTGGGGAGAGACACTGGGAGAACTGGAGGAACAAGCAGAACCCCCACGGCTGTCCCTGGCTAGTTGCGTTGGCTGGCCAGCTCCTGGGAGATGAATTTCCGAAGGCGCTCGAGGTACTGGCTGTAGAGTTCAATGTCATTGTGCCCAGCCCCATCCACCCACAGCGGCTCCACGGCCTTGGGGCAGCGCTCAAAGAGTGCCAGGCCATGGGAGAAGTCGATGACTTCATCCTCCGTGCCGTGGATGATGAGGACAGGAGAGGTGATTTTGGAGATCTTCTCGATGCTGCCAAGAAAGCGGGTGGGGAAGAGAGGAGAGAGGGAGGTAAGCAGAGGGACTGAGGCACTCCCTCCTGCCCCCCAAAACACATCCCCTCAGGAGAGGGATCAGGCTCTTTCATCACAGCAGAGCACAGGAACAGGGAGGGACACGGAGCTTCTGCCAAGGACGAGCTCCAGGACAAGATCTGCCCTGGTGGGACAGATGAGAGGCAGACAGAGGTGACAACCACTCCGTGGGATCTCTGCAGGGCTGCAGGGACCTGCTGCAGGACAGCCTTCCCCTGCTGGGATCAGCCCTGCCGGGCTCTGAGGGGGGGAAACACGGCAGTTCCCAGCCTGGCCCTGGAGGCCACGTGAGGCCATCGGGACGCACAGCGTGGGCTGGTGGCTCCTAGCCACAGCTTCCAGCTTGGGGCCTGCCCCCCGGGCCCTGCTGGCCTGTGTGCAAGGGAGGTGAAGGAAGAGGTCACCTCTCAGCACTGCTCCCGCCATCTGCAGAGTGGGAAAACCCTCTGGAATTACCCTTGGGGGAGAGAAGGGTTCCAGGGACCCTCAGGGCTTATGACACCTGACAAGGGGTCAGTGGTACAGCCCCAGAGCTGGTGGGCAAAGACACCGGCACAGGGTGGTCAGGAGGGGATGCCAGAGGGGTGCACAAATGGCATGGCCCTCAGAAGAGGGCACCCTGACCCCGGGGAGGGTTAGGCAGGACAAGAGGATGCCGAAGGGGATGTTTAAGCCTATCAGAGCAAACAGGTCCACAGCTGACCCCATGACCCCTGGTTGTGGCCAGAGTTAGTGTCCAGGGCAGGGCTGGTTCAGGCACTGCCCCTCCAGACCTGACTACTGCCTGTCCCCTGTCCTCAGGGCACTCACTTGGGGAAGGCATCGAACCAGTAGGTCTTCTTGGTCTCGGGGAAGGCGACGCGCATGCCGGAGGTGAGCGGGGAGTGCAGCACAATGGCAGCACACTCGTAGCGGGAGGCCAGGTCAACCGTGGGCACCGTGCCAATGCTCTGTCCATACAAAATTATGTTCTCTGGGCTGATCCCATACCTGGGAGAGGAGAGAGCAGGTCAGCATCCAGGCAGCTGAGTCACATCACCAGGAGATACAGATCAGGGGTCACGCTGCACTGGCCACAGCACCCCACAAGGCTCCCAGCGGAGTCTGTGCCCACCAGCCTTCCCCCAGCAGGGCCCAAGGCAGCTCCCTGCATGCCCAAGAGACCAGGTGAGTTGTGGGGGTGTCGAGGCTCACCCTTGCCAGGGGCAGGGTCATGGGAAGGTTCACAGACCCAGTGGTGTAGGGCTGCTTCCAGCCCTGAGTCACGCTGCGAACCAGGCCCAGCTGCAGGCAGGGAAGAGGAGGCAGAGCCTGGCATGGGCACTCCACTGGGGAAGAGAATTGAGCCTGGGAACACTGAGACAGGGAGCATAGCTTGGGCCAAGGTCATACTCTGCAACATCCCTGCCCCTCAGGCCCCCGAGCCTGCTCACCCTGCACTTTTCCACCTTCCCCTTCCTGTTATGAGTGGCCCAGGGTTCCCCTCTCTGGGAGATTTCCTGTTTTCCAGACTGCACGACCACAGGGTTTTCCTGACAGCAGCACAGACATCCTCTCTCCCCTGCCCCACTCACCGTGTCCTCAGTGCCTGCCACGCGGCGTCGATGTCGGAGTACAGGTTTCGTTCCGAGGGCTTCCCCGTGCTCACACCATAGCCCGAGTAGTCGTAGGAGAAGATGTTGCAATTGATGCGAGTGCCCAGCCCGATGTAGAAACTGCTCATCTGCCCCAGGTCCACGGCATTGCCGTGTGAGAAGAGCACTGTGTACCTGTGGCACCAGGGAGACGGGTACAGAGCGTTAATCGTGGGATCAGCTGCGCTGCCAGGGTGCAGGGAAGGGTATCCCCGGGCAGTGCTGGCCAAGATCTCTGCCTCAGAGGCTGGAAACCAAGCCATGGGGCCAGCACTCCTCTGGCCACCGAGGAAGGTCCTCACGATAGCCCCAGGGACACCCAGACCCTCCTGCTGCCAGGGCCAGGGCTCTCTCGCAGCAGGAACAGGCAGCCCAAAGGCAGGATGCTGATTCTGCTCAAGTTTTTGAGTCTATTTTTGGTAAAAAGCTCAGGATTTGGGGCCGTTTGCCCAATGGGGATTTCAAGTCAGAATTCTGACAGCAGGTTTTTTTCTCTCCTGAGCCTGGCAAGGCACCAGATGCTGGGAGAGAAGTGAATTGTGGGAGTGACAAGGCACAAGAAATTTCCACCATAAGGGGAAAAACAATGTTAATCATAAAAATTAACACTAATAGCAGATTGACAGAAGCTTGGCTCCTTCCTGCCGGAGGGAGGGAGCAGGACTTGCTCCCTGGTGAGCCCCCACAGATGGCCCAAGTGGTCTGTGGCCAAGCTGAGCCTCCAAC